GAAAATGTAGTTCAATGGCAGTGCATAGATTGAAAAACCTGTGGTTTTGGTGAGATGCCTCCATATTCTTCTGCTTCCCTCTGCTGGCGTGCGGCAGGATTCCTGCCTGTCTCCCGGCCAGGCTTTGGAGCAAATCCGAACCCCTTTTGGCAGAGCCAGAGCTGTCTGTCTGGGCAAGTCACTTCTGCAAGCTCATTTATTTATTTTTTTAAAGGTTTCTGCCCCGTTTTCGGTTTTCTTTCAGTAGGTCCACACAGTGCAAGTCTGTGTACAACACAAATCTCCTGGTCAGTGCGATTCTATGGCTGCCTGTCTCTGTATAAGCATGTCTCAGCTTTGAGACTAATGAATAATACTTTGATTTTTTTTCAGAGCTGTACGGGGTGTAGATGCCCAGTTGCTAGTCATCGTTATAGGGATGCTGCACCCGTGTATGTCATTACAGGCTCTGAAACTCCAGTCTGTTGTACTGCGGTCGAATTGCAGAGCACTGGCTGGATTTCTGCCAATTTGAAGGTTTTTCAAAGACAAATATTTAAATGTCTGTGATATCGATTGCCCCGAGTTTCCTTTCCCGTTTAATTATATTATATTGCATTCAGTTGTACTTATAAAAATGGGGGATTGTCTTAGTAACAGCAGAGAATTCACTTTTTAGCATGAAAATAACATGAATTTTAATAGAGCATATCATTCATCACTGCTTAACAAGTGCTTTCCCATTGCTTTCCCATTGCCACTTTCCCCCTTCATAATTTTGATGGATTTTGGAAACAGAAGTGGGTTTTCCCTTTAGAGTTTCACAATTAATCTATGCCAAGTTTAGTGCAAAGTTCAATTCTCTTGCAAATAGCAGCCATTATTTGGCAGTTCATCTGTCATCTCCTGGCTTGGCTCCCTGTGTTTACTATGAAATATGACTGCCAGCTATGCTTTGGTAATTATTGAAAGTTTATGTTGATTAAAAGGGGATATTTGAAGAAAATTTACAGGAGCTTACCTCTAACTCAGTAGTTTACCTCTAGCTGAAGAACCGGAAAGACGATGCTATTTTCTCAATAATGCGTATAAGTCACTTAATGCATATTTAACATTGGGAAGTATTAAACTGTATTTACAACTAATAAGTGTTAATTGCTGTTAATAATACAAGTAATTAGGGCTGGCAATGTGATAATTATTACTAATTTAGTTACTTACAATTAAAGCATAAACTATAAGTTCAAGGGTAGTTCTAAGTGCATGAGAAGCCCGTGTTAATATAGGGAATAAGATAAAACCTTTTTATCACCGATGATGGGTGTGTAGAGATCTCTTAGCTTTCTCTGTATGTTCTCAGACTTGTTTGCAAAATAATAGCATCTTGTATACTTCAATTTACCAAAAATTAAAAAATGCATAGGATTGAAACAGAAAAAAGGATTAAATACTGAGGAGAAGTGCACTCTCTTGTTTGTTAGCTTTTAAATATTTTTGAGGTTCTTCTATTTACTTCTATTAGAGTGATTTTAAAAGAGAGATTTCCTATGTGCAGAGTTTCCATTTCATCAATGGTTTTGATACTGTTTTCCTTTGTCCTCTTTTTTTATGCTGTGCCTTGAAGAAGTGACTTTGTGTGTGCATATAGAATAATAACTAATAATAGTCAGGACATGCTTGCTGCTCTTTAAAAAAAAATTAATTCCTATTGAATTGTTCACTTTAAACTTAGAGTAGGCATTTTCACACAATGATAGAAAACTAATATTTATTATAGAAAGCAAAAGATGATTCAAATTATATACATTGATTCATGCAGGGCCAACTTCAAAGTGTGATCCAACTTGATTTATTTGTTCCTGTGACTGGTTTTATTTCATTGTTTTATAAGAACGCCTTTGCTGGTATTTTGTTGTTACATGCAGCTAGGCGCAGGAGTACATGAGCCTTTGCTCATGTAGTGCTGCTTTGTAGCGAGTGTAGTAAAGTTGTCCTTACATGTCACAACATTTTTAAATCACACACACCCCCCTGCTTAACTTAATTACCATGTATAGTCCATTGATTGGAATGGAATTGTTTGGTAGTGATCGTTATATAATTTCAGTATAATATACAGGTTCCATGTATTTAGTAGACATTCACTACAATAATTTCCCATAGTTCCTTCCCCTCTATATCATTACTTTATACTCATAAATACCACTTATGTCAGATGTTAAACACAACTTTTAAAATCTGTTTGTTCAGTGTCATTCTTAGAAGCTGTGGGTTTTGTCTTTCTCAGCAACAGATGTGCTTACCAAAGTGATGTTTAAGTGTATATATTTATAAGGCAACAAGTCCCCTTATGTCTTCTAAACAAAACAATTTAAGGAAGAACTAGCTTTGAAAATGTGTTTTAAATTGTTTGGAAGGCATATAGTCAGAGTCCATCCATCAGATAAACCTTTAGCAAAGCAATGTTCCCATGACCCCGCACCACAAGACCCATTGACTATATCTTTAATAAATAATGAAACAGATGTTCTGGAGCATTGAATGTCATTCCATTTAGGTTAACTGTGTTTACAAAATAAATATGGTTGTAAGCAGTTTGCATTTCATCTCTCAGGCTGTGTAACAAACAGAACTATTGAAACCGTCTCAATCTGAGTTCTTAATGTAAAGTCTTTATTTGTTATCCTGGATGCTATATAATTTCTATCTGTGCAGTGAAAACTACTGGGTATGGATTCATGATAAAACTTAGAATCAGTACCAAAAAAAATTCACACAAAGAATGCTTACCAAACCAAAAAATACCTTCACAAATTTTGAAGGCAAGATTTTGCCTTCTCATAGTCATATGTTTATGAAAATTACAGTTAGGAGTTCCCAAATTTCTTCAGTTTCTTGGGAAAACACATACTAGAGGAATCTTTTACTTTTGAAGAAAGAGTTAGCAGGTTTTCCATTTTGTATAACATGCTGTGCTTTGCTTTTTGTTTTTTGGAAAGCTTTTATTGGCAGATGCAAGTTGAAATGTTAGTTTATTTTTTATGACGGTTTAATAATTCTTATGTAAAGGTATATTGCTATAAAATACAAGCAGAAGAAAAACGTTTTGAGGCCTCATTTTGCAGTTGTATTTTTGTGAAGGATGCTTTAATGCATGAAAGACCTGACATTTTGTAATTTCCGTGGTCTTCCTGTCAGTGTATGAGGCTGTAAAAATCTGAAGGAAAAAAGAAAGAATGTTAGCAAGAATTGATTACAAACCCCAGTGTATTTTTTAACGAAGAAGAATTACTGCTCTTCCCAACTTCCGATCAAGACTGTGTTTTTACTAAAATACAGAGGTAAACAGTGTTTCCCAAATCCGTGTTAAACCGTGTAGTTGGGACTGGAAGTGGTCATAAAGGCTATCAAAATATGTATGATGTGCACAGAAGTGTCGGGCTCTCATGCTGTTTATTTTGGCAACGCACATCTCCAAGTGTTGGGAACAGGCTGCCCGAGTCTGGTGTACGTGAAGTTCTGTGGCTGTGTATATGTGGAATGAGCCTGATGTGGGTGAATGTACTGAAGTTGTGATTTCTAACTTTCATATAAATGTTCTTGGTTTTCCAAAGGGGACCCCTAGAGAAACAGCAGATGTATTTGGATGTGTCATACCGTGTTTGGTTTTAAGTGATTTGGGTGTATTCCCTTTCACTGGTCCTAAATTAGAAAGCATTTCCAAGCTGCTGGTGGCCTTAAAATGTCCTCACTATAAATTTCTCTATTGGTAAATCAGATGGGAATAGCAGTCTCGGTAAAATATTTGCTACTTGCCAAGTTAGAATTTGTTCACTTTCATTTACAATAGTGTACATTATAAATTTGCAACACTTCAAGATGATCCTTTCTTTGAGATCCTGATTTTACAGTCATTTGACTGTATTTCAGATCAGCCCCTTAACAAACTCTTACTACCCTCCTCTCCTATGTTTTGTGTCATCGTTTCAGAATGGTGATAACACGCTGTAAACAAGCAGGCAGTATGTGACACTTTAGCCACAGGCTGAATGCTGTCATTACACTTTATGTATATGTACAGTCAGTATTTGTAAGTTTTAGTGTAGATGAATCACAGGAACAAGTCTGCGTTCACTGAGCTGACGTATTCTTTCTTACACCAAAGCAAAGGAAAAATAGGAACCGAGGCCAACGTACCTGCACCGATGTAGGTACCGCTATTGGGGTGGTGAATAAGCTACGTGCTGAAATATATTTTTCTGTAGCATGAGTTGCAGAGCTGGAAAGTTTTTGGCATTTGAAGTAATATATTAAAGGTCTGTCAATCTTACTTTTAATGACTTGAGAATCTCTTTCTGTTTTTTCCTTCAGGATCCCAGAAGCAAGCACAAATTTAAGATCCACACATATGGGAGCCCAACCTTCTGTGACCATTGTGGGTCACTGCTTTATGGGCTTCTGCACCAAGGGATGAAATGTGACAGTAAGTGAAGTTTTTCTATGTTACCAAAAGGGTATTTTAGAAAGTAAGTAGAAACACTGGGTAACAGCTTCTTATTTCTTTTCTGTGGAAAATACCATTTCAAATGTCAGCTATTTATAGTACTGTTATATTTCAAGTGGATATTTCAGTACTATAATAATCTACTAATGAAAATCACCTCTGTTGCTGAGAACATGGTATATTGAGTTTGATGTGGCTGAAGAACATTTGCTGTGGCAGTTTTGAGGAAGGCTGGTTTTGGACTGGTCAGGTGAATACACTGTTGAAAACTGAAATTTCAGTTTGGTTGGTAGCCAAGGTCCAATATTTGCCTTGCATTTCATTTGTCTTGGAAGTCTTCTGCTAGAAAATCTAATAATCAATTTAAACCTGACTCCCCTCATTGCTAACGCTGGCACGAATGCTCTGTTTTCTTAGTCATATTCCCAGCAAGTCTTTATTCCATTTTCACTTTTTTCCCTTGCACTTCATTAATGATATCCTTAGGTTTCTGAAGTGGATTATTTTATTCTCTGTTCCATTTGCTGTCTACAAAATGTATTGTAAGATGGAAACTAGCCATGTTGTTCAGCTGAAAAACATGCAGCTGTAATCTGAAAGTCTTGCCAACAGTTAAGCATTGTAATCTTAACTTTCACTTTGCTCGCTGTTTGCAGTGTAATCATATTATAAGCTTCTCATAGCTGTCTGAACCATTTTTATATCCACAGCTTGTGATATGAATGTTCATAAGCAATGCGTAATAAACGTCCCAAGCCTCTGTGGCATGGATCACACAGAGAAAAGAGGAAGGATTTATCTGAAAGCGGAAGTCACTGGTGACAAACTGGAAGTAACAGGTACACACCTCATTCTGGAATTTTGCAGGGTTTATAAATGTATAATATACTCGGGGGGGGGTTAGGTACCTTGGTCAAATCTTTGTGTATTAAAGCCAGTGACGGAGTATTTCCCTTCAGAAGTGTGAGGATTTCATTCAACGTGTCCTTGAATCAAGAAACTCTATGAACTGGTGTTCATAAAAATAAATAGAAAAATGAAAACTGTAGTAATAGCTTCAAAAACTCAGGAAAATTAATTAGAAAATCACTGTAATGTCAATTTTTCATGTAGGAAGCAGCCCCATAGGATAGCTAGCTGTTCAGGATGTTAGCCATCATCTTAAGAACATAAGAAATACTCTAAACTTTCATCAGCTGAGGAGTTGTTTCCTGTATTTCAGAGTATTTAATAAACAAGGGCAACTTGGATTCAATCCCGAATATTACTCCCAGCGAGTTATAAAATAATAAAATAATCACATTCTGTAAGGTTAAGGTTATTAAGATGGGGAGGAGGGAGAGAGGAAGGAAAGAGAGGGTGGCAGTTCATTTCCTTGGAAGTGTTTCTCCCAGGATTTATGAGTAAGCCTTGGCTGTGCAAACGTGTACGTGTACGTGTGCACCCACACACCCCCACCGACCCATTCCAAATCCGAAGTTGCAGAAAAAATTCTGGAAAATGTATTTTGCAAGTTGAAGGACTGTTTTGTCCCCCTAAATAGACATGTAATAGGTTGTTTAACTCCAACAGAACTTCCTTGTGCTGTACCAGAAAGGGGAGTTTTCGCTCAGGATCCGCATAAGAATTTGTATTTACAGCATATGTTATGTTTGGTCTGTACGTGCTTTCTATTTGAGCTGGGGCCAACTGATATTTAGTGTATCTTATATCTGAAGTACGAAGTTGGTTGTGAACTTTGTCGATTTTTTCTTTCTGTTGGACACAACTATACAAAAGCGTTCTTTGCCAATCAGATGACAGTGTATCTACTCAAAGGGAGAGCACAGGGTAGGAATTAGGAGGGACAGAATTGAAGTAAGGGAAGGAATAACAGAAAATTTTGTTCATTTTTTTTACAGATAGAGGCAGGTCTATAAAACAAATCTAAACTCTAAAAGAAAGTCCCAATTTTTTATGACTCAGAACTTTAAGGAAATTTTAAAAACATGCTGTAGTAACTAAAACCAAAATAAGTATGATATAACTTAGGAAATGGAGTAGAAGACAGTCAGAAAACACAAGTTATCAACAGCTTTTACCTCAGCAGAGTGGATGGGTTAGTGTGTCATCCAGGTGACCAACTTACAGGCAACACGTCTTAATACATCACATTAGATGTACACGGATACATCTTTAAAATAGGTACTGCACGAAACTGAATTCACAGTGTCCACACAATGAAACAAGAACAGGGTACGATGCTGTTATCGTTGCCTGTTTGGTGTTGCAAAATGGAATTAAATTCGAGGGCAGGGCAAAGGAGGAGGTTTCTTACACCATCTCAACTTATCTCTTTGTTTCTTGACGTAGTTGTTGGCAACCTGTGGATGTTGAGTGCTGTGTATTGCTTCAGCGTTGCTCAGTTGAAAGGCTAGAGCCTATTATATGCCAAAAGGATGTTCCTTCTACCTCTGCACTTCTTTGGGGAATGAATCTCAGTGGAGACCATACCCCTTGTAGTCAACATAAAGGACATCAGACCATCACACTGAATTTTCACAGCTTACAGAACCAGCAAACTTCCCTCCAGTCGCTGTATTCATTCATGGCTTTGTTCTCTCTAAATCTGAATAGCTCCATATTCTCCTGTCAAACCTTGTAAAATGCATTGAAAAGGAGAGCTATGATAAAATTTAGTTAGAAAGGATCAGAACGGATCCCAAGTGGTACTTAATTGTAGCTTAACTTTTCAAATAGCTTCCTGTCAACGTAGGAGGGGTAAATTTGTCCCAGGTACTGTCATTAACAGAAAGGTGGTTTCACTAAGTAGTGAGACACTTCAAAGATGGTGATGCAGGTTCTGAAAGTAATTGTGCCGTGAGAGAGAACTAATTTGAAAATCACCCAAGTGACAAAATTTAATATTTGCATTATTCTAGGCTGCTTTGCAGCAAGGTTCTTAAACGTGGCTTAAACTTTCTGACATAATGCACATAATTTGATAAATAACATGTACATATTTCCTAATGATTCAGCAGGTTTATAATCCTTTTAGGGACAAAAACGTTTGTCACAAGTCTTTGTGGTACCAAGGCACTGTAAAACAATTACGCAAAGAGGTATTCTTTTAGTTCATAGTTTTATTTGAAAAGGTCTTGTCTGAAATACGAATACGCTAAAATTGTTACAGATATTTTGTAGGGTTTCTTCATAAGCTCTTTTTGGTGTGAGTGTACTTGGCAAATGCTGTTACTTTGGTGCTTATAAATAAAACATTTCTGTCCCACAAGTAAGTAGGTTTCTGGACAACAAGAAAAACGTTTACTATAACCTTGTTAGGTGTATAGCAATTATGGTGCTGTTGTTTTGGTTGAGGCTTCTCAGCATTTCCAAGCTTTCAGAAAATTTCTTTAAATAAAAATGACAATAGCCCTGAAAGTAAGCTTCTTTTTTTTTAAATAAAAAATACTGTACAGACTAAACCCGGATTGGGTGACATTTCAGATACCTTTTGTGCATGTTTAACTGAAAAGGAAATTAGCAATTGTCAGTTAGTTCATGGACATATTGCTACGCAAAGATTTCAAACTCCTTTTCTCCCAGTATGGCATTGCTTCTAAAATATTTATTGACAAAACCTTTATTAGAATATACAGTTCCCAGAGCTGCTAAGCACAATACCACTGCCTTTAGACTCAGGAAAGGAGGTGAATTAAATGTCCAGGAGGTTTAGGAACAGCAGGAAAAATAATCAATGATTGGCTGTTTGGTTTGAGCCTTTGCCTGAATCTTTTTCAAAGGAATTACTCTGTAGGTGTCGAACTCCTTCAGCTGAATTCCTTAATATCTCTGCTCTGCGTCCTGTTTTG